CTTTCCCTGATACCACTTCTTAGGGCCAGCTGTGCAAGAAAAAGATTTCATCTCTCTTTTCCCAAACATTATAGATATTTCTATTTATGTAAGGGGTAAACCAAGAAGTGACCAAGAAAGAAAGTTCAACTAGAGAGTAGGTACAAGGACAAACGAAGGCCAGACTCCTTTCTTTGTACTAACGGTCCACATTTTCTGCACTGGACTGTTTGATAACTACAGATTGACCAGCACTTTGTATTTGTTTTCATTCAATAGGGGATATTTTAATGATTCTGAGACTTGCAAGGAATGCAGTGGATCCTGTAAGACATGCGTGGGAACTGCAACCAAATGCCTGTCCTGTAAAAGTCCCTTGCTTCTGCAGCAGTGGAAATGTAAACCTACCTGTTCAGAGAAGCATTTTGCCTCTGAAGGAATCTGCAAACACTGCCCTGAAATGTGTCTGGAGTGCATTCACAATGAAATATGCAAAGGTATTATAAAGAACTGTTCTCATTTTGGCTAAAATCCATCTGGGTCTGTCTAGAGACAGACTGACAAGCACAAATCTGATGAGCAAAACTAAAAAAGAGATGTGTATATCACTGCCAATCTCTAAGACAAAGGTTAAGCCATCAGTGCTTTATGATGAGACTCAACTGTTTATGATGGGTCTAAACTGTTAATCTGTAAAGATTTAATATTGCTTTGTCTATGCCTGTTGCCCTATGGAGATTCCTGTTGATTTGATTCTATTTCTGACTTAGCGTACCCATGCCTAAACATTTGCATACACATCTACACCAATGTGAAATACAGAATGTTTATTTCCTAGTTTGGTTGAAGTTTACATCCATTTACCATTTTGCAAACGCCAACTCATGATAAAAAATTAAATCACTGTAATGAAACATATTAGGAAAGCCCTGAATATCCTGGTGAGCCTGAATGCTCCCACCAAAATTTCTAGGATAGTCAATACTGAGCAAGCCATTATGGAAATACAAACATGGATGAAATGAGAGGGAAAAAAAATCATAAGCAAAGCTATTAAACCGAGTACTCATATAAAATTAGAAGCTGAATCCCAGCTCTATGCAAAGACAAACATTCATGTCCATATAGTCTAGCCAGATGTGTATTTTAATAATAAATCAAACAGAACATCAGTTGTAGACATCCCCGATTTTGCAGGAAAACCATAGTATCTCAGGACCTATGTCCTGTGGCAGCACAGATTGGTTAGTATCAGCGAAGCTGAACTGGTGACTTCCCTTCTCAGTCTCTTGGTGTAACACAGAAGATTCTTTGTGAAAGTTGGGCCATTATGGGCGGTTTGTGGGGGGGAAGAGTCAAAAAAAGAAAGCACTGTCCTCTTACTTCCTGTTATGATAGGCACTGCAGGATTTGTGGTTTTCTAGGATTTCTTCACTCCCTCACTTGCAGAGGTCAAAATTTGCTGCACACTTATTTACCTGCTGTTTGCTGTCTCCTGCAGAGTGCATGGATGAGTTCTTCCTGCATGAGGGGAAGTGTGTGCAGGACTGCCCTTCTCACTTCTATGCTGAAGACAAGCACTGCTTTCCCTGCCATGCAGACTGCAAGGACTGTGATGGGCCGGACTCAGATGACTGCACTGAGTGTGCCATCAGCTACTTTGTCCTCTACAGCGGCACATGTTTTGAAGAGTGCCCTGAAGGGACTTACTTTGAAAAAGCCAGTGGAGACTGTCAAGGTTGGGAGCTCTTGTTTTCCCCAGAACAGTATAGAGATACAAATGGGTCTGGTTAAGGACCAAAAAGGCCTGCATGTGCCACCTAATGTTGCTATCATTGTCCTGGAAGCAGAAGAGATGGCTGATGCAGAAAAATAACAAGGCGTATCTTTCATAAGCAAAAAATGGAGGAAGCTGAGAGGAAGGTAGCAAAGCTAATTGTTTTTAATATTATGGGTGTCATGGTTTAAACCCAGCCGGTAACTCAGAACCACGCAGCTGCTCACTCACTCCCTGCCCTTCCTCCTCCCCCCTTTCCCGGAGGGCTGGGGAGGAAAATCGGAGGAATGTAACTCCCCCGGGTTGAGATAACAGCACTCCAGTAACTGAGGTATAATACAAACCACTACTGCTACCAATAATAATGATAAGGGAAATAACAAGGGGAGAGGACACAACCGCTCACCACCCACCAACTGATATCCAGCCCGATCCGAGCAACGATCTGGACCCTCTGGGTAACTCTCCAAAATCTCCCCAGTTTCTATACTGGGCATGACGTGCTGTGGTATGGAATACCCCTTTGGCCAGTTTGGGTCAGGTGTCCCGTCTCTGCTTCCTCCCGGCTTCCCCTCCTCCCTGGCAGAGCATGAGACTGAGAAAGTCCTTGGTCAGAGTAAACATTACTTGGCAACAACTAAAAACATCGGTGTTACCAGCGTTGTTCCCAGGCTGAAAGTCAAAAACACAGCTCTGCACTAGGTACTAAGGAGAAAAATGACTGATGTAGCTGAACCCGGGACAATGGGTAACCACTTTGGCGAAGTGCTGCATGTTGCTGGAGACTATGTTGAAAACCACTGTTCAGCAAAAGCAGTGCTAGCGCAAAAGAAAACCCACAGAACTGCCTGTATAAGATTGAAAACAGTAAAATGGGCTCTTTTTTTGAGACTATGCAGAAGCAGAGCTATTTCTCTGTTTTCCTCAAACCTCTCATCCTGATATCAGAAATGCAACAAGAAATGGTGACATTCCTACTATTTGTCATTTCAGCATGCAACAGGACGTGCCAGACTTGTTCTTCTTCCACTGCCTGCCTTACCTGCAGAAATGGCCTGATGCTGAACCATGACAGTCAGTGTGTGTCATCTGGATACTGCTCTCACACTGAGTACTACATTGAGAAAACTCAGACCTGTAAGCCCTGTCATAAGAAATGCTTCCACTGCTCTGGACCGACTGAACACCAGTGTCTTAGCTGTGCCAATAACCGCTATCTTCTCAGTAAGTGTCTTGTTTCTGCCTCTAGATTTTATTCTACACTGAATGCATGAACTAGGCAAGCTTCTGTCACATTTATGAAACATGGAGGGCTGCTTCAGGTGACGTGACAAGTAGAGATGATTACTTGTGCAGGGCTACCTGGAAATTCTTTGTGAGACTGGGCTTTCCACTCACTGTGGCCAAAGCAAGACTTGTAAGTAGCGACAAATACAAGACTGAAGAAAACTTGTAAGTTTCATGTACTACTGTTCCTATTATTTCCTACAATAAAAGATGAGGGGCATATCCTTAGGTTTTAGTCTGGTTTTGGTTTGTTTGTTTGGGTTTTTTTAATGTACACACAAAGAGCTCATATCTTCATGTTGGCTTGCTTAATCCTTGCAGAGATATGATGAGCAAAGCAATACTTAAGCACAGCTGTTAAAAAATTGTTCACAAATCACTAGGTCAGTATCTAGTGGATAGCTGAGGTGCAAAACAACTTTTCTGACTTTGGAGAAGAAGACTGTATTGTCTTAGAAACAAATTAATAAAAAGGAATAAATCTCAGAACTTAAGCTTTATTTCTTTACGTATACATTATAGAAAATCCTTGGGGGAAAAAGAATGCTATTTCCTGCAGGGAAAAAAAAAACCAACCTGAAGAGCTTGAATTAAATCTGAACCAAAGTTTTTGAGTCTGATTCTGATGAAGATTTTACCTACTTAGATTTCTAAGGTCTTGCATCAGACCTGGCTTTCTTATCAACACACTCAGCTTCTTTGCACCATTACAATTGGTAAAATTGATGAAAGTATATAAATAAACATCCTGGACTGGAGAAAGAATTGCAAAAAAACAGAAATAAGAGGAAGCATCCTCCTTTGCCCAGTTGCAACCCAAGAAGCAAAACTATAAAGACAAGCTAGATAATGAGTACAAGCTATAATGGATAATCATTGCTCTCTTAACTTGATGCACTTGCAGTTAGTTTTATCAGTTGTACCTTCTCATTCAAAATTCATAGAATCGTGTCATCACAGAATAGTTTGGATTGGAAGCAACCTTAAAGATCACCTAGTTCCACCCACCCTGCCATTGGCAGGGACACCTTACATGCAGCCAGGTTGCTCAAAGCCCCGTCCAACCTGGCCTTGAACAATTCCAGGGATGGGGCAGCCACAGCTTCCCTGGGCAACCTGTGCCAGTGTTCACCACCTTCACAGGGAAGAGTTTTTTCCTATTACCTAATCTAAACCTGCTTTCTCCCAGCTTAAAGGCATTACCCCTTCCCCTATCCCTACATGCCCTTCCTCTTCTAATGACCCTCTGAAATCTCAATGAAAATGTGGGATGTACCTAGTACATTTGGCAGTATTACAGGCACTTACTATAATCTGCTTTAGCAGCAGCCAAAGTTAGGGGTAAAGACAAATGAACAAATGTCATAAAATCTCAGATTTACCATCATATTTGTGATACACACAGAATACAACGAGGTTGATGCTTAGAGAGAAACCTAAGGAAAATAGCAATGCAGGTAGAAAGTTTCCCAGTTACTACTTCTTCTTTCATATATTCTGAAAGAAATCACAGCTGCCGTTCATTATTATGCATTATGCATTTATATTTCCCAAAGACAAAAAATTACCTGAAGAGCCTGCTAATGTACATAAAATGCAGAAATGAGGACTAATGAACTGATAAGACTTAGAAGAAACAAAAAATAATTACTATATACCAGCATTCTCTTGTTCTGGTACACATTCTAGCAGCATCTCCTGTCAGAAAGATTGTTTGAGATGTCTTATAGCAGCAAGTACTGAACATGATGTGTTATTCTGCATTGTTGTCTGTGCAGATGCAACCTGCGTTGAAACATGCCCAGATGGGTATTATGTTGACAGTGATGAGAGACAGTGTTCCCCATGCCACAGCGCCTGTGCCACTTGCACTGGAAAACACAGCTCACAGTGCCTTTCCTGCAAACCGGGCTGGTACAGACAAGGAAAAAGATGTGTAAACCAGTGTCCAGCAGGGTAAGGTCCAAGATCTTTAGCTAAGAGATACATCACAGAAAGAGCTTGGAGAAATTAGATCACTCAGCCCTATTCTATTTGAGAGTGAAATACAACTGAATTCTATTTTCAGGTGAAAAATTCTTATGCTGTCCCAGTACAAAGGTGGTGGAAAACCTTCCCTCACTTAGGAAACTCTAAAGTTGGTACCCAGACTGGGACTAGTTTTATGTGGTGTGTCCTTTCTTACACTCCAAGGATGCTCTTCGGTTATGTTTGTATGGGACAGTGTGAAGCAGAATAAATATAGGAAGCCACCTGTTAGCTTAAGTACAGGAAGCAGCATAACTTCTGCCAAGCACCCTTGCAGCCTTCACTTCATATGAAGTTACTTCTGGTTTGCACTGAGTAAATGTTAATAATGGTATATAATAAAACCAACCATTAAAACACCTTTCAACCGAGGACTCATAATTCTAGTCAGAAACTTCATTAATATGAGTCCATTTAATTTCAAAACCTGAATTCAGTGCACTTTTGTGATTATGTCTCCAAAATTCAAATTTGGGAAGTGGATCTGTGATTTCTGGTTCAGGTCCATTTCATTTCACAATATAGTACGATCACACTGGCTGTTAAACTGAGTTATCATCCCATTAAATTTGGAAGTCTGTAATGACCACATCTCAAAAAAAGCATTGTGCAGCAATTCCTCTTCTTCCATCAGCACAACTTAACTGAACACTGTTCTTCTGATAATATCCTTTGGGTAAGCCTGCTTGTGCACTGAAAGGAACTATGAAATTTCTGAATTTCCATCTGACAGCAGGTCATCAAGGACCAGTGAGGAATTCAGTGCTTACCCAAAGTCTCAAGGGTATCTCTGAGGGCCAAAACAGAGCTGAGGTTTTATGAGCCCTTCCTATACTTACTTTGAGTCTGAATTAACCCTAGATTTTAGAAGGCCTAACTTTATACACCCTAATCTACAAAGTCTTACTTTATAGCTGAATTCCAGTGGCCAAAGGGAATTAAATAAAATTAATTCTATTTTGACTGAGATTGCAAATATTTACTGCAATTACATCAATATATCACTTTCATACACTGATGCAGTCATAGTAAAAGCTAAGAATGAAGGATGTTTTGATTTTGCTGTCACTGCTGGGCTTTGTGCAAAGCCATGACTATCTGATCTGTTTCAGGTATTTTGCACAAAACTCCACTGGATCATGTGAGAGGTGCCACAAAGGTTGTAAGGAGTGCATGGGGCCTCAACCCACAGACTGCCTTCTCTGTGACACATATTTCTACCTGTTGCGTTCCAAGAATGAATGCATTAGCTCTTGTCCTGAGTATTACTATGAAAACAAGGACAACAATGTCTGTGAAAGATGCCACCCTTCCTGCCGAGCTTGTGAAGGTAAAAGCTTTGACAAAAATAAGGGTTATCAAAACACCTGCCAAGGATTATCAAAACACCTAACATCTCTTTAGGTTTTTTTACTCTCTGATCCAAGATCTGGAAACACCCCACTAAGACACACGCCATATACAGCACTACCAACCTGTCCATGACTTAAGTAGCTGCAGTGGGTGGTGCAGACGTCTCCTGGGGCTGTGGGCTCACCCTGGCCCTGAGTGATTTGCTGCTCTGGCTGCTCCATGCTGCCACCTTACTTTTAGAGTATTGATTGATCGAGATCAAAGTAGGTATATGAATTATTGCCAAGCTCCCCGCAGGGCTGCCTCCAGCCATGGAGCGCAAGTGTAAAGGCAGCCACTCATGGGGAGAGCTGGGAGCAAGTCCCAGTGCCAAGCCGTTGAAGGGAAACAGACAGCAGTAATGAATTTTCCATCAGGCAAGCCTCTCACAAAGATGCTCATCAACTTCAAAAAAAAATGGCTCTGTTGGATACAGAGCTGGACCATGTTCCTCACACAAACACTGAATAATTATTGAATTATACCTCACTCTTTGAGCTGTCCGTCTATGTGTTACTCTGTGAAAGTCAAGGAACCTAAATCCAATCACACATCTTTATAGTCTGCAAAAGGAAGAGTGATGTCTGCTGGTTTTAATATAGCTAAGTATTTTTCAAAAATAACTTTGAGAAACCATCTGTTTTGTTCTGTGACACACTTATGTATTCATTTGCTTCTTTTTCCTAATTCATCCAATTCTGAAGAAGCAGCATTAATCCCCTTGGATCCATTTGATGTCCTTTTCTATCTGAATAGCATTAGATGATAGCTAACAGGACCGCTGTGCAGCTTAGACCACACCTTACTGTAACATTCAAAATTTGTTTTGGATAGTGGATATACTGGGTAGCACAGACAGCTAATTGCAACATAACAATATTTAAAATTGTGGAAATAACTCTTAAAGTGAAACCACATTCAAGAACTACGAAAATGTAATTGTATAATAACATTATAGCAAGTAACATAAATATTTTAGCTTGAATTTGGGACAAAAAGATAGGCATTTTAATGTATAGATTACTTCCATTGATACTTACTTCATTTGGGATAAATAGTACAGGACAGACTTTCTATTGTGATTACGGAGACACTGAGATGAAACACAAACCAGTCCTCCTAAACAGCAAACCTATAGCTGTTCTAAAATGCATCTGTACTGTTGATGCGCGAGCGAAGAGATGTTGTGGTGTCTCGTTTCTCAAGAGCAGGAAGGCAAACCCTGTACTGCCAGAAAAATCACATAGTAAATTCACTGGGTTATAGAAGGCTGCTAATTTCAGCTGTTTAAGTGCTGCTGACGTCAGCTACTTACATTACCATTTTCTTGCTTTCAGATGGTGGCAGAAAATGCCCAGTTGCAGGGAAATGTATTTTAACGCATAGGACAAACCCTTCATTTCAATGTTTCACAGAAATACTGCATGCAGCATGTGTCTTCAAAAAGTCTCCAACACACAAAGTACATATGATGGTCTGTTTGCACCTAGCGAAGGATTTTTTTTCCCTTGCAGCTAAAGAACTTATTTTGCTTATTAAAACATAAACATATCTTAATTCATTGTGGTTTGGAAACAGTTAACTATCAGGCCTAATAAATATTGATTTTGTGAAGGGGAGCATGTGACCAAGGTTCTCCTTGGTCACAATTTTACTTCAGTGCATTGACCTAATCGGTTCCCCTGAAAGCGTCAGAGCTTCCATGTACAACTGATGCCCAGGTCAGCTTCTCATGGATACCAAAACACGTAAGAAATACACATAAAACTTCAAGACTAGGCCAAAGGTCCTCATGCTGAACTCCTCACTGCTGATTCTTGCTGTTGATAAATACCCTTTTCTTTGGTGGCAACAGTCAGAATAATTTTTAAAGGAAGTTAGATGACAATTTTCCTGTTGTAAATTTGTCGTTTTATTTACCTTTCTAGGGAAGGGAGCATTCAGCTGCACATCTTGTGTATGGAGCCACAGTTTATCACGTGGAATGTGCAACTCAGACTGTTTTGTAGGTGAATACAAAGTCCAGGAGACACCAGATCAAGAGGTACCTGATTGTAGGCATTTTCTTCTGTGATTTGTATGCTGAACTTTAACTTCTGAACACAATACAAACACAGAATGCTCTTCTCTGAGTTTTCAATGCTGCTTGTCTTTAAATGTGCTTATTTCTGTTTTTCCTTCTGGGGTTGTCTACTATAGAGTAATCCTCTACCATTAAATATAAAGGCACAACATTGTCAGTGACAATACCAAAGCCATGTGAACAAAATCAACTATATTAGTAATACAGCTTTTTTTCTTCTTCCAGTATAACTGAGATTTCCCTGTGAATTTCTGCTGCTTTGTCTGTAAGGAGTCACATGGCATTCCAGAGTGACAGCTCCGCTGGCAGAAACCTCTAGTTGAGGGACAGACTGAAGTTAACAGAGCTGTGTATGTAGTAGAGTAGAACCACAATTAGGTTTGGGTCTGTGCCACAAGTCTGGGCACTCTAGCTTCCAGATTTCCACACCAACTACCTTCCAAAGATGTTTATTCAAGAATATAGCAGCAAGGCACGCCAGCTGGCCTGAGATGCCGCTTACCCAGGAGTCTCTGGCCTGGAATATCCCCTTAGCAGTACTGCTTCATAACTGAGAGCTTGAGAAAACAGCCTACAAGCTGAGGACCACAGAGGTTCACAGTTCTTTGCACAAGCTTTGACTTAGAGAAACTGGACCTCCTAATGGACTTAATATGACCCTCCCAATGGACTTACTATGACCCTCCCATCTTGCCCAGGTTCTTTGATTCAGGACAAGCAGCCTCACAAGTCTGACTGCGAGTTTGATGAAAAGTTACTGGAGTTTCCAGATCCTTACAGTGGATATGGGGTCCTAGTCCCATGTCAGAAAAAGAGCAATTTTTTTTCCCAATAGGCCAGGAACTGCGAATACCAGACCTCAGAGTATTCTGCAAGGTAGATGTGACAATAGTGATCTCTGGTATTCTCTGTACACATAAGCTCCCAGGTGCCTATCTGGAATTTGAAAAGCGTATTTGAATCTAGGCTGTTTCTGTAAAACAGAACCAAGATAATCTAATAAAAATCTGGTTTGCTAGAAAATTTCCATCCAGCTGTATTCCTTATTTCTGCTCCTTCCCAAGGAATTTCCTTAGAAAGGAAACTCATTCTCTCAGCTGCCTTTTTTTTTTTCCCTTAGAATAATTAAAGTTGCTTCTCCCATGCCAGTTACTTTTAATGATACCACTGAGTACACTTTTTGAAGACCACTTTACCACTATTACTGCCAAAGAACTATAGCTGTGCTAGCATGGGACTAGCAAAACCAAAATACTTCCCAGCCAAAGAGCTTGCAGTCTGAATGAATTTTATCTTGCTGTCTAGCTAGGCCAGATCTCTAAGCTTCTACAAAACTTTCCTCCCCTCTCCATACACACAGATCACTGAGAACCCAGGAAATATGAAACAAATTTTTGTTTTCCTACTTCTCCCTGTATTTTGTCATTGACACCTGTGGTACCAAGATGACCATGCCCAGTGAATGACAGGACAGAACTGCCAGGACAGGTTCAAAGCATCTAAAATGAAAGGTGCATTGCTTGTGTTCTGTGTTTGAAGGAGGATGAGCCCAAGTGTGAGAGATGTGACAGCTCATGCACTGAGTGCAAGGGACCTGGGCCTCTCAACTGCACAGTCTGTCCAGCCACCATGCAGCTCTACCTGGCAGAAAGCCGCTGCCTGCCCTGCTGCCATGACTCGGACCTCGCAGGCACCCCAGAGTGCTGTGATTGCAATGAAACACAAGGTAGGACCATGCTGAAGAGCAGTAAAGGCGCTAAATGGCTTTAAAATCAACTAGGCTGACATGTGAAAATCAAAAGGGAATAAAGCAAAAATGCGCTGCCGAGATGCAGGCATACAGTGTGTTTCTACCAGAATAGGAAGGGCTTTACACAAAAAACAGCAATTGCAACTGGTGTATGAGACAGCACCTTCTTTTGCTCATGGCTTTTGTGTTAAATAGCCAGGCACTTCATAAACCAGGTGACTGGGAAGCTCTTGCTTCAACCGAGAGCCATCTGAAACAATGTCTTTTACACTCATCATGTCAAAATGTATTTGTGTGCCTGTTTTCTGGTCCTTTTTGAGTATTTCTAATCTAACACAAAAGCATAGCTATCCCAGCAACCTTGTTTATGTCCTTGTACCACCACAGCTACAGAACATAGTTGTGGTGCTGAAAAAGTATTTAGTCAAATGTGTTCAAAAATGTAAGCAGGCCTAAATGTTGTACTGGGTTTTCTGAAGATAAATACCCTCCTTTTCCCCCTCTGCAATACACACACATACAGGCTTATTTAATCTTTTTTTCTTTTACTGCTGTTGTAGATGACTGTGTATTACGGACCACTTTACCACCTGAGAGCAAAAGCAAAACTGCTTTCTTTGTTACTACCTGTATTTTACTTCTCCTTGTCATTGGAGCCATTGTATTCATCTGGAGAAAAACACGAGCCAAAACCCAGGCTGTCAATAAAGGCAGGTATGAGAAGCTGACAAATCACTCCAAAACCTTCCCTTCCTATGTGGGCAACTACCACGAGAGCACCAGTTACCAGGAAGATCAGGTCATAGAGTATAGAGATCGTGATAATGAAGATGATGATGAAGAAGATGACATTGTGTACATGGGCCAGGATGGCACAGTCTATCGCAAATTTAAATATGGACTTTTGGAGGATGATGAGGAAGATGAGCTTGAATATGATGATGAAAGTTATTCATTTAGATAACTCTTTACTAATTTATTAATTCCCTGCTGTGTTGCTTTTCCTATTAAATTACAGCAATTTAGTCGAGTATGTTTAGTTACTTCTTAGCATGCTGAGCTCAAGATTTTAGCTAACAATTATTGTGAGAGCAGAATGGTTTCTAGAAACATTTTTTCCTAAAGCATTATATAAATCCTTGCTAGCCTTTTAAGTAGCACTCCAGATGTAGACTGGTTAAGAGATTATGTTTCTGTGCATTTGGACAAAATGGAGAGTAAATCCTTTCCCAGTATGTATTTGTGTGCACTATTAACTAATACAAACCTTGCTTCAAACCATGCACTCACACTTATTGACAATCTTGCCGATTATCTACTAGAAATGTGCAGATATAAGCAACATAAGTGTATTTATCTAACTGATGAATACCACTGGGATAGAGTGACAGGAGTTCACTACTTTGTGATTAGAGTAATCCATAATAGAATAGGCAAGCTTGCTGACTTTACCCATATTTCCTTTGTGAGCATCATCTGGTATATCTGTGTTCCTTAAAACCTACACATTTCTCTTTATAATCTTATATCATACTTCCCAGTGAAATTGTGCATTTATGAAATCTATGACTTCCGGGTTTACTGCAACAGGAAATATAACCCACAAAAAAGTCCTAATTTTCTCTTTTTAACTACTTTCTCAGTGATTTAAACACAGAACATATATTCAAGCAGCTTTTCCATTTCTGTTGTAAATGGCTCAGATGTTTAGACAGTGGCAAAGGGGATAGTTAGCACATACTTGGTAACGTAACTTAAAGGAACACGGCAATGTGATTTTTTTATTATTATTATTACAGAAATATAATTTATCGTAGTGAAGAAAAGGATGCTCTTTATGACTTTTTGTTGTGAAATAATAAATTCTTTGCACAAAACTGCCTTGAAAATGCTGCTGTTTGTCAAGTTTCATTTGCTCTCAGAGTTCTTTTGCATTTCCAGTAAGAAGCTGGGCGCATTACCTTTGTCTCTGCCCATTATCTAAATTTGTGTAAGTGACTGGGACAAATTTGCATTTCTCAGTGTGCATCAAAACAAACATAGAAAATTCTTCTCAAATGCCAATTTTCCAGATTTTTTTAAAGAGGTTGTTTGTTGTGGTTTGGGCACACCATTTCAACCACATTTTGAGTTACCAGCTGCATTTTCTTTTGCTTCTGATTCTTCCTGCTCTGCAGTCTGACACTTTTCTTCTGGCTTTCAGAGCTTGTCACATGCAGCCAAGGATCCTGGATGTCCACAGCAAAAGTGGGCTTCCTTGTAATGCTAAAACCTGCACAGGCAGAGCTCAGACACCATCTGTTAGGAGAGAAGCAGTACTGGTAAATTCCCTCCACCCAGATAAGCAGTGCTTCCTGTGAGGGATTCAAATGACTGCCCAAATGATAAGCCTATTCTTAAAAGGTGGGAGCACATATGCAGCAGCATGCATGATTTTATGCTGTATGGGTAGGACAACAATATGTATGCCTTACAAAATGGCAGATAATTGCCTTGAAGGTGAAACAGTCTTCTTAGACGAGCAGTAAATAACTGATTAACTAAGTTAGAAGGATATGACACAAGGTTATTACTTTTTTTAGAGTACAGTTTCAAAATAGTGGTCGAGGAGACCCAAACTTTCTGCAGAGCCATAACACATTTAATAGCATTCACAATTAAAACTCCCTGCTAAGAGTCCAGAGGGAAACCAAGAAAAATAAAGTTTAACAGTTAACTGGCACAAGAGGAAATCATTCATGAATCACTCACAATTCTAAAGAAACTTCATGGAAAGCAGGATACAAGCAAGAAAGCCAAGTAATCAACCAAGTACAACCAAATAATAACTGTACAGAGAACATAGCACACAAAGGAAATACTGCTTTTCTGGATTACTTTGTGGGCTTCTACTGCCTAAATCCTTTACATTGTCCTGAAAAAAAGGTAGAGAAATTCAAATCCACAGTTGCTGAGAAACTCTCTCTCATTACTCTTTCAGTAAGAAAGCTCTTTCCAAAAGATCTCCTAAAAATCTACATCTACAATCCACTTCTCATTTAATCCAGTAATTTGATTTTGAAGGAAAGACTAGGTTACCAGTGTTCTTCATCCTCTCTTTCCTCAGAGTTTATGTAAATAAGGAAAAGTTTTCTCTTCCATGACTGTACCCTGAAGTTTTGCTAGAAAGAAAGTGGACAAAAATAGATTGTTGGAGTTAAATTTCAAGTGTCTTGAGGCTGAAAACGTCTTCCTCGACAGGTTATTATTCCCTGATCAGACTACATTCTTAAAGTATACCATGTTTGCTTCTAGTCCTGTGTAACAATTGCAGGACTTCTGGCTGGGGACTTAGATTGAAATTTAAAAAAAAAAAGATAGGAATGAAAATACGATAAACATTATTATGTAGGTTACCACAGAAGCTTTTCAAATTGATATTTTGAGGCACGTAGTTTTCGCGTGAAAAATAGTATGTTTCAAGAAAAGTAAGTATCTTTGCAATAAAAAATGTATTCTTAGCAATCACATTCCCCACTTTAAAAAGCTACCTATAGAAAAATCCTCATTATCCTTAAGAAGTCACTATTTTACCCAGGTTACTTATGTTCATTTGAGTCCCTGTTGGGATGGGAGCGGGAGAGTATGTTTCAGAGCAGACCAGAGATTTTTCATCTCCCCTCAACCTCTAATGTCTCTGTGTGGTTTCAAGCCTGAAAAGTAATCAGACATGCATCCTGATGAGGAACAGAATGATATCCTAAGGACTCTAAAGCACTTTCAAACAGAAAGACTTTGAAGAACTTTTTCCACTCTTTTTTTCCCCCCCCCTTAATTAGAACATATGTATATAATCTCTCATATCAAACAACAAACGACTAAAGATTATGACTGTAAACAGACATACTCGCAATGAACTAGATGCATTTATAGGTACGAGATGCAAAATTCACAGGAGATGTGCACATGTCACTTCTGTTCTTCTTTCAGGGTAGATACCCTATGTTCCTATTTTACTGTTTGTTTCCTACTGATAAGAAATACCCAGGAAGTTGCCTAACACATGTTGGCTGATTTCACAATATCTCTTCTGATTTTATCATTAACATGACAAAAGACAATTTTTCCTTTGGAAAAGATTGTTACAAAGTAGAAAGTAATTATGACTTTTTTCCCTCCATCACCCTTTTTCCAATTTAGGCTTTCGCTGGAGGGAGATCTCGTCTCAGACCTTAACAAACAAAACAGATGCACTAAGTATCTCTTTGCATGATTTTGCATGTTTACACATTAAATTGAATAGTAAAAAAAAGGGATATAAGTATTCCTTTATTCTTCCTTGTTTATATTGTCTATTTAGCATCTAAATAAGCACTTTTTTTTTCAGGAGGAGTTTAGATGCTCTTCTTGCTCCATTTTTTGCCTTGTGTTCCTCCATCCTTACTCTCTGCACGTCACATCTAAAATTCTCATCCTATTATTGTTCTGTATCCTCTCTACTCCTTGTTACCTAGCATCATCTTCATTTCCCAGGTTTCTTTTTTCTGATGCAAAAACTTAATTTTGTCATTAAACGTCTCATCATTAGTTTAAAAAAAAAAGAAACAAATAGAAGTGTTATTGTATTCATGGTACATGGTTATGGTATTCATGTAAGCCTTTCACTGACACATCTTAGTCCTACGGAAAAGCTAGTCATAACTTCAGAACAAACTAAAAGAATATTCTTAGCACTTCGCTACTCTGAGCCACAAAAAAGAAAGTAGTATCAATTTCTCAGTCATTACAGAAGATGGACATTATATACAGTCAGTACCTTAGGTTATATAACTAATTATATATTAACTGGCATGGTCAGCAATGTTTGTTAAGTTCTAGTCCCCTTAGAAACCTCAACAGGCCACAAATCTATACAAATACTCCCCTGCAGCAACAGATAATGCAAGTTCTCTATCACACTAGCAAGTAGGGCCTTCTGTTTATAATTTCTCTCACATCATTCTTCTCCCTTTAGGAAAATGCAAGAAGCTTATGGAAACAAATTACAGTCCTATGTAGACCATATTAATCATAAAATAAATTTTAAGGCAATTGTGTATTTTTTTAAATCTCATTTCATTTCCAGAATGAAAACTAGTAGAACGTCTTAATCCTTCGAAACAGAAACCTAAAGAACATAGGTGCTTGAAGATTTAGCTTGTAAATCCATGCCTCCAGTGTGGATAGTGTGCTGCTAGAATAGCATCATGATCCATGACAAATCCCAAAGTACACTGAAGAATCCACTGCATCTAGCACAAAAGCAATCCTTATGAAATACCCATATCACCACGTTATACTATGTGCTTTCCTGGTGCAATTTTAGGGATGCCACATAGAAGTCATATAAAGGTCTACATACAAACAGCATTAAAGTACGAGAGAAACTTTTCCCCAAGAGGCCTGAGACAGATTAATGTGTTTCAAGATCCAGGTTTGATTCATTTTCAGCAGTAGCAGATGGACCTTTGCCCTGACCCAGATGAATGTTTAAACAATTGAACCAGAACAGAACAGGATGCAACTCTTTCTATCTGACTTCTAAAAGAACCACATAGTTTTACATTTTGAAAGAAAGGGTACAGACAAACCTACTTTCAGATTATAGAATTATGAAGACATAGCTCCCCTATGTCCTAGCATACAAAAATCCCCAGTCAGACTGTTTTCAGACACGCTTTAATTTTAGCCAGTTTAAATAACCTCTGAATGCTTTTTTTCTGTCAAAGGTTTGGGGCAATCACCCTTACAAAGCTTTGCATAGGACTGAGACATAGTCTGTGCTAGGCATAGCAAAGGAAAGTACCATAGGAACTAAGTCATTGTCAGAACCCTCTTCAGAAACAAAATTTACTGACTGGCAATAACCTTTAACTGCTAAACAATAGAGGAGTGATTGTGACTGATGAGAAACTGAATAAATTATTTCCAAGAATTGCCAGAAGT